AAAATACATTCAGCCTCATCTTTCATCACAGCACCAGCTGCACACCTTTTAGTTAATCTGCCAAAAAAAGCCACCTTATTGACCCAAAAATACACAAAAAGCAGACTGAGATGCTCCTCAGGGTCCTGACCAGGGGCCTCATTTATAAAGGGATATACGCTCAAAAAATGGCGTACGCCAGTTTCTACGCAATGTTTGCGATTTATAAAATACTAACTTGACGGGAAAATGTGTGGTCCTCCACGCAAACTCTAACCCATGCTTACGCACTAAGCACAACAACGGGAGAGACGAGAAACTGCGACACCGTTGGCAGAAGGAAGAATGGAGAGAAATATGTGGAAATAAATAAAATGTTACCTCTCATTTATCATATGAAGAATTCATTTTCAAACATTGATTAAAGCCAATCTTAAAATGATTAAACAAACGCCTGTTTGAGACTCCTGAGTGCACACAAAAACATAACTTGGAGAAATAAATAAATACGGATATGTTATTTAAAATCACCTTGAATATGTTGTGTTAATGTTATGAAATGTTTTCTCATAAATGATGCGGTAGCAGGAGGACAGAATAACGTCTAAACTGACGCCGTTTTGCATTTCTATAGGTTGTAGATACGAGCATGGTTTTATATACCATCACGTTTAATCGTGTTTTATGCCGTTTGCCAAGACTTGATAAGTCGCTCGTAAAACACAGGAGGTATGGAAACTAAGAACACCATATGTGGTAAATTGTACAGCTAATATAACACAACCCATTAGTTGTATTTCCTTAACTGGTGGATTATGGATATATAGTTGCTGATCGACAGCTGGAACACAAACCACCAAATACAACAAAATAATTCAGATCCAGTCGTCATGACTCCACTCCGGAGGGATTCCCCCATCATTTCTTACAGTTTCTCATCAAGGGGGTGTCTCCTGTCCCCGGTACAAACACACTGCCTGAGGAAGGTTATGTGTATTTTTTTTGTCATTAACTTTTTTCGGACCACTTATTTATTTATTTTGGTGACGATCCGACCTCCATGCTGCTACTCTGGTTCAAACTGCATCCACCAAACAATATGATTTATCTCGACCTCCCCAAAATAACCAAAATCTGACACGGTGTGAGATGTCTTTTTTAGCTGTTCGGTCATAATTTCCTGCGATCTTCTTCATGCAGTCAGTCAAAATGAATGAATGAATGGGCGTTTCTTTGACTATTTATAGGCAAATATGGGCGTTACGTGAAGCCTGAAAAAGCTGCGCCGCATTTCGAGTCGATTGTGATTTATAAAGGGAAACAGGCGTAGGAAGTGCCGGTACGCACTTCCCTCGCCGGTACGCAATGTTTTGTGAATCGGAAAATGTCGGAACATTTCTGTACCTATTTTTTTGCTTTGTACTACGTAAGCAACCTTCTCACGTCAATCCCACGCAAGGCGTTATAAATGAGGCCCCAGGCCATTTGCTCTTTGGTGTCACCATTTTTTTTAGGGCACAAAGGCCACATGCCAGGGCACAAAGGCCATTGACGGGAACATTTGGATTTGGAGCTTTCAAATAAATAACATACGAATGACATCGAAAACAAATCACTTTTTTAATATCAATAAGGTCAAACATGATATCATCATAGGCCTATGCCTCCTTAGTATTACCGTATATAAAATGAAATACTCTACTTTGAATAATTAGTGTTTGGTATGTTTTCTATCTACAACTTCTCCCTTTCAAAAATCCCAAATCATAAAATAAAAAATTATATTAATATGTAACAAATATATTCAGAGCAGAAGAAACAGCCTTTAAGGGTCAAACTCTGCACATAAATCATTCAGCAGTGCACAGTGAAGCTCAAACATTCAACTGTATGAACAAGCAATACTTTGAAATGCAAAAATGTGTGTGTGTACTTTTTCAAATTCGCGTGACGCATTCTCGCGGTAGCCAATCAGCGGTGAGGATCTTAGCTTGCCGTCACTGACGTTGAATCAGAAAACCAAAACATCAGCCGTTAGCTGTTAGCACACAGAGCTCACAGCTCCTCATATCTGTTCAGAAACTGGAGAAAAGTTAAACATGAACAAAACACAGACTGTCTTTGTCATGGCGAATAAAATCGCTGTTGTATCTATGTCTGTATCATGTTGTTGTGAGTTTGGACGGAGCAGATACAACGTTAGCTTAGCCTGATCGATCCGATCTCCATTCAGAAAAACACGCATTTTAAAGGTTTTTCGCCTGCTGTCTTGTCTGCACACTTGTCAAAGCATTAATTCATGGTTTTTACTAACCGTTATCAGTATGTTGTTACTTCGGCATCATTTTGAAACGTGTATTACAATTAAATTACGGTAGAATATGTTCATTTTGTTGTAGTTGGTTTCTACCACAGTATTTACATGGAGATAAGCCCCGCCCCCTCTCCAGCGGCGTCCGGTGTGAACGCAGCATAATGCAGTTCAGAGACCAGACCACTGGTCTGACGCTTTTAAAGCAACTTCGAGATTTTAACAGTGTAAGGGGCACAAAGTCATGGTGGCCGTAGGACGTACAATTATTTTCGGGGCATCACGGCCAGACTGAGGGGCAACGACCATGGATGTATAATAAGAACTGGATACAGCGTCGGAGGCGGGTCTCGTTCTTTCCTATGAGAGCTGATTATTGGCGCATGAAGGCAAAATGGCCCATCCTTTGAGAGAGCGAAACGTCACAGATTACCCGTCATGCCTGGCTGTCAGAGCAGAAGAACACATATGTGCAGTCACAGAGCATGCGCCCCTTAAGCCCTGCCCCCCGAGCTCCCACTCTCGGCTCATTAGAATGAATGGAGAGAGAAAATAAATCTAGATTCGGCTTTTAGTGCATTTTACAACTTTAAGGACTTAAAGATTCTAATAAGGGCTATACAATAGTTCATACTGGGTAGTTTATTTAGTTTTTAAAAAAAAGGATCCGCTGATTTACAGACGTCTCTTTCCCCATGTTAGTCAATGGGAAAAAGTCTTTCTGGGCCGGGTGACGTCACAGACTGATACGAAAATTGTAGTACCGCCGTTTGGACACTACGAATTTTGGGCACAGAGTCCGGCGCACTTCCTGGGGGCTTGGCAACGACGGCCGTTGCCGTCATGGCCGCCGTGAAATTCCTACCCTGGTCCTGACATGCTCCACGCGTTGACATTTTACCGATAGCTGCTACGGTTTTCAACTAAAGTTAGAAATGTAAGAGGTTTATTTCTCATTCAGAACAATGGAAAGGCTCTCCTTTCACTGCACATCACCTTGGTAACCTTTGATCTCTGGGCTCACACACAGGTGTTTGATAATGTCGTCACATCAAACACAAACACGCTGGGTGTTTCTCAATGTCGAGGAAGGATGCTCCAGAGCCACTATTTCAAGCATACTACGTCATCGAGTGCCGCCGAAGGACTGTTCCAATGTCCAGCATACTTGGAATTCTACCGAGGCCGGCGTATTTCGTAGCGAGAAATGTTGAGGCTGCACATGTGTAGACTCCGCAGTCTTAAAATCCCCACAATGCTTTGCGCACGGACCAATCTCCAAATCTTTGGCGGAAATCGCGCTCCATTTAAGGCGGGGCCTCGCATACGACGCACACCTGCACACCTGTTAGCCTGTTCCACAATTCTTCGTTTTCCGAGGCTAGGAAGGATTCTTGCCTCGCTTCTGAAGCAAGTGATTCGGAAGACATGTGCTACCAAGCAAGCGTCCTCGACATTGAGAAACACCCACAGACTGGAGTTTAACAGACTGTCTCAGCCTATTCTTTTCTGTCTGATGGAGACTTCATACTGACTTCAACATGTTCCACATATTTTATACATTATTGGTGACGTATGGTTTTAGTTCAAAAGTTTGCAGTTAAAATATTCTGCTGCTTTTCAAAGCGTTTTTACTTTCTTTTCTCTTCTTAATACACATTCATTCACTACTACTTACATCTGATATCTAACTCCTTCAGCCTACTTTCAGTTACAGAAACCATTCAACTATTACATTATTCAGTTATTTCAGGACATTGAGGCTATACATGTTGTTGTTTATACCTTTTTTAAAACTTTTCATTTAAATATTAAGCTTCTTCACTATTTTTCCTACTCTTCCAGTTTAAACATTTCACTTTCAAGTTTTCAACAAAGTCATTGCAATGCTTTTGAGCTGTAACAATTTTGAGTCAAATCATTTCACTTTTCTGCATTTCTCCGCTAAGTTCAGCAACACACTTACTTGGTTTCTGTTGCTAAAAGCAGCTACAGACACCATTCAGCTAATAAAATATTCAGCTTTTTCTGTATTTTCAGCTAAATTCAGCAAAGAATTTGCGCAGCCTACAGCATTCGCACGCATTTTCAGCAGGAAATGCATTTTCTAGTTAGACTAGCACTTCCTTGCTGTATCTATAATTCTCACACCTTCACATAGAAGGAATTAGCAAAGAGTCCTAACTTAACGTCTTGTCATCCCATGACTTTGGATATCTCTGAAATGTTGCACATTATAAAATTAGCAGCAATGTAAAATAAACAAGAATATCAATAATGCAACTAAGGAAAAAACATATTGGGAAATTCCCTTGCAGAGATTGTCTCTTACGATACTCATTAAATCAAATCAAATCAAATCAGGTTTTATTTATAAAGCACATTTAAAAGCGATTTTGGTCGAGCCAAAGTGCTGTACATGTAATAAAAACACATTACTACAATCACAATAAAAGACAATAAATTACAACAGATATATATAAAAAATAAAATAAAAAAAAACACACAAGGAAAAGTCAGGAGTCGTGCTCCGCTCTAACTAGAAAGCCAGAGAGAAGAAGTGTGTTTTTAGTGTAGATTTAAATTAGGCTTAGTTAAGGAATGATCTTTAAGAAATGTTCAAATCTATAACTTATCTAAGAAAACAGCAGTCAATGAGTGTTGACTGCAAATGCATGAATTCATTTATTTAAACCTTGCTGTCCTGCAGGCAAGCAGAATGTGGTGATAATGGGCAGGAAAACATGGTTTTCCATCCCAGAGAAGAACAGACCTTTAAACAACAGGATCAACATCGTCCTCAGCAGGGAGTGCAGGTATGTGTCACACACAGTGCATGCTACTATAAAGCAGGGTGTACAAACAACATAACTGGGATGTTTCGCTGTAGACACACTGAAACCTTTTTTTTTAGGTATAACATTTTTATGTATTCTTGGAAGACGGAACACTTACCTCTGATATGAAATTCAGCTTTTAAAGGTCACCAAAATTGTGTCATTTTAAAACTTACCATAACCATCATCAAGGCTGGCATTGGGAGGGAGTGACTTGAGGCCTGAGGCAGATAGAGAGCGTTTTGCAGGTCAAAAACCCAAGGTGCACTGCCTTTTTTGTTGAATATACTTAGATGACGGGGTTGAGTCTAAGGTTGCTCAATTCATATAGCTCCTGATATCCAGCAACCTCAGACCAATAGGAAAGGAAAAAAGAAAAGCAATGACGTGGGGCACAATTCCATTCCAAGTGAACGTTTTCTTTAAACTCTAGACATTCTGGGCACTTCTGCAAAAATGTGGGGCACGTAGAGGCAGAGCAGAATAACACATGCAAATGCAGCTAGCACATTTCATAGTCATTAAAACAATTACAAAAAGGAGCCCAAGGTTTCTCAAAGTGGTCTGTCTAATGAAATCCATTCATCTCTATTGTATTGGTGTGGAGGCAGATAAATCAGAGACAGATACAAAATAAGCCAAGGACAGATATTTGTCCTTTTTTAAATGTAACCTTTCGCTTCGCTCTAATCGCTCCTATCGCATCGCTCTAAACGCTCGAGTTTCACCGCGGCTGCCAGCTGTGTTTACTCGCATCATTCAAACAAGACGCGCTGCCTCGGGAGCTACAACTACAACAAAATGAACATATTTGACCGTGATTTAATTGTAATACACGTTTCTAAATGATGCCGAAGTAACAACATACTGATACCGGTTAGTAAAACATAATTTAGATGTTGTGTGGTTGAACGTCAGTGACTGCAGGCTGAGATCCTCACCGCTGATTGGCTTCCGCGAGAACGCGTCACGTGAATTTGACGCTCGAGTTGAAAAAAATTGAACTCTCGCGATTAATGCGGCACCGTTCAATCGCCTCAATCGCGTGATTCGCGTGATTCGCGCCGCGTCCACCGCTTCATGTGCGAGGCCCCCTCCGCGAGGAGAGGCCCCCTCCGCGAGGTGAGGCCCCCTCCGCGAGGTGAGGCCCCCCCAACGCAGTCTGCGTGATCTGCGTGTAGGGAGGGTCGGGCCTGCATTGTAGCATGCCATAAACCCCTCTGTTTCAGCCCTGTTTCAGAAGTGCTGATTCTCTGTTTTTTACTTTTTTTTTACTTTAGATGAAAATAAGGACCCACTCCCCACGCCCCTCTTACCTCATTCACACCAACGCAACTCCGGTTCAAGCTCCGTGCTAGAGCTTTTCAGGTTCAGAACCGGTTTCTTCGGTTTAGCTCCGGCTCTTTTTCACAGACCGCCCAGAGTCCGACTGGTGCTGCGTCATTGCGTCATCGTTTGCGTCATGACGTAACCGTTTGCGTGCCTGCTTCATAAAGCCAAACTGCGCGGAAACCCCTCACAGCTCACACCCGACAACAACAACAATGGCCGATTGTGCTCCAGCTTCCTCTGTACCATCTTCGGAAGACCAGATTCCCAGTAGGTAGCTGGTCTCTTCAGTGGACCACTGCTGCTTGTTAAGTTTCTCCATCGTTGTGTACAAACTGGATAAAAACGCGGCTTTTTGTTGTTGTTCAGGAGTTGATCCCGCCCCTGCCCCTGCCCCCGTCTCGACGTAAGTGTGACGTATGCGGTGCTTTTGCTCTAGCCGGACAATTTTTTGGTGCTTGAAACGAACCGGATTCCGGAGCTAAGAGGCTGCTCCGCTGCGGTGTGAACAGGAAAACCCGGTGCTTTTCAAGCTCCAGCTCCAAACCGGCCCTGAAACACCGTTGGTGTGAATGAGGTATCTGAGAGATATTTGGTTAAAAAGAACACAATAGCCGCGTTCACACCGGAGTACTTTTCACCGTACTTTTCGCGTTTAGGTCCGTTAGTACCCCTTATGTCGCGTTCACACCAAAAATCGTACTTAATCTCGGGTACTTTTACCCCCATTTTTAGAGCCGGCTGAGAGAGCGTACTTTCCTGAGGGTGAAAAGTGCCCCAGTGCTGATTGGCTGGGCGAATTGCAAACCACGCCCGTACAACTGTGAAAATGTTGTGTGGAGACGCCATTGTTTTCCCTCGCTACAAAATCCCAACGCACCGACGGAGCGTTGGGTTTGTTTTTGAAAGCAGTTATGGCAAGCATCAAGAAATGATGATGAGGTGTCGGCGCTTCTGGAGATCTACGCCGAGGACGCGACCCAGGGAATGCTACTGAAGCCAGTTCAGTAGCTTTCACTCGACCTGGGAATCGTGCACAGCCCCACGGCACACACCGGCTAAAAATAAAGAAACTCGGGCAGGACTACAAACGGCGGATTCAGTGGCCAACGATGACGACCACGACGAAGGTAAAATCAACTACATGCACTGGGGTTTTAATCTGCACAATAATGGTCTCAGATGTACTTTTATTTGCTCAGTAGATCAAGCTAGCCATGCTAGGCTGAATAGGCTAACACCGGCCCCGAGCTAGCTACATCTAGCTAGCTAGATATTCTCGGCCGCTATGAAAACGTTTTGACTTGTGAATAACTGTGCAGTGTTTCTGTAATTTGCTTCACTAACTCATGGCACTAATCGTCTGTTTCAGGCGAGGATGGACAACTCTCGGGATTGGAAACAAGCGAGCTTTGCATTCTAGATCACAGCGCTAGCTCGTCCCCCTTACCAGCAACCAAACGCAAAGGTACACACACTGTAACTTTGTCTTGAAAGAACGTTACGCATCAAACTGATGCTCACAATCATGTTTATTTCCTTCTTGGTACAATTATGAAACAGCGTGAAAACGTATTTGCAGACCGGCATTTACAAATGTCTCTCACAAACATTGTAAACATCTGGGCTAGAGGTCACATGACTTCCGGTACGAAAACTTGCCTCAACAACATTAAACAAAATTCAAGCATACATGAAGCACAATCCTCCGTGTTTGAACCTCTTAAATCGCTGCATAGCCGATTTATTTGGACTGGATTATCCCAGAGAGGCTAAACATTCTTTATAACACAGTTTGAGATTTGTGAAACCTTAATTCTATTTGTAAAAATACAAAAAAGGGAGATTTCAGTGCTTTTTTTACATGTAGACCACATTAGACCAGGTCCTGATCTAAAACCACTATACCTAGACTCATCAAATCTGGACTGGATTATCCCAGAGAGTCAAAAGATTCTTTATAACACAGTTTCAGATTTGTGAAACCTTAATTCTATTTGTGAAAATACAAAAAACACATTCCTAGTATGTTGTAAAACTACATGGCGACTAAACAGATCTTGTATCTTGCTTATTTTCCCCTCTTAGGAAAGCGGACACGGGATGCGAATTTCTTTGACACCGTCCAGGCGTTGGAGGACCGGCGTGCCGTGGTGAAAGAGTCGATGCACGGGGATCAGATGGTGCTGTTCACCAAGGCCCAGGAAACGGAGGACAAGATGCTCACCAGTTCATTTTATATTATTATTATTACTGTTATTATATAGTCTTGATACAACGGACACTTTATTTTATATTGATAATGTTAATTTACATGTACAACTTCTATTTATTTACATTAAATGTGAACTTCTATTACTGTTAAACAGATCCTGTAGCTTGCTTATTTCTCCTGACACTTTATCTTTAGTGACCTGTGTAGCATCCTATACATGTAAGTGGTTATTCTGATACCATCATGTTTCAATCGGTTATAAACTGGCAAAGCTTTATTTGTCATTTATTTATCATCAATGTTGCAACCTTGTGGAGGAATGGCAGGGGCACATACACAAATATGATCATTTATATCATTTAAATATTATTTGACCTAAAACTAAATGTTTTTATGATTATCCTCTGAGGAGGACATGGGGATTTGCAAAACCTATTAATTCCCCCCCCCCCCCCCCCCCCCCCCCCCCCCATTTTAACACAACACAAAATGGAGTCCACTATGGGCCGAAACTAACATTTATGTTTCCATAGTGTTTATGGCAGACGGATGCAGTGGGTCTCAGGAAGATATATATATATATACTAATAACGGTGGGGTTTGCTGCTGAGCCTATTTACTGTGCATACAACACAACCGGCAGCAGTTTATTGTTATTATATTGCCACACTGTACACTATTGTAATGTTGCCTGTCTTGACTGGAAAATAAAAGAGAAACAAAAGCACTGTACAAAAGATTAGCTTTATTGTCAAAATGTTTACAATTTACACGCTGTTCAGATGCCTCATAAAGCTGGGTCGCCGGTAAGGCAGTCCATTCGTCCCTGTACTCATTACTTTCACAAAGGTTATGTAATATGGCAACATGCTGCCACCTGGATTGTGATCTTGTAGTCGTTTCTTTTGCATCAAGCACTGCACCCTGCCCTTCAGTCTGGGCCAAAAGCGTTCTCCACCACCACTTCGTGCTCGGCTTGTTTTGTTATTGTAGCGCAAGTTGCTCAGGCTGCATTAACTCAGTTACAAAGCTGTATAACATGAGGCACAAACAGCACAACTTCAGTCGACTCATCTCCATCATGTCTGAGGTCGGAAGGTAAACACAGACGCCTAATGTACAGCGAGTGGGTGGGCGTCGCAGTATACCGCGGGAAGTTTTTCTTCTTCTTCTCTTGTTTTGCAGCGGATTGCAAACAACTTTAAGGTGCATACCGCCACCTACTGTACTCGCCGTGAAGTGGTTTGTGGCCTGCCAGTAAAGCCAAAGCAGAAGAAGAAGAAGTGACGTCAGCGGCTCATTTGCGTAATCTTCCTCAGGGAAAAGTACTCCGGTGTGAACGCGATCTGTACTAAGTGCCCTGGGGTTAAAAGCGCCGGGGCTCTTAGTGCCGGAACTAAGTAAAGGAAAGTACTTGGTGTGAACGCGGCTAATGGGGCTCTAGGGGGAGATTCAGGTGATAAGGTGGGGGGGGGGGGGGGGTTACTGGCTAATGATTGGCTAATGGTTACACAAGCCAAGAAATCGTTATGACATCATAAAGTGGCCAAAATCTGATCAGCTCATTTTCAGACAGGTTTTTTATATAAATGGATCAGGACAAAAAGTGAGCGAATCTTTTTTCCTGGAACTTTCAGAATCTCTTACACAGAGGGGACACGTGTTTATGTATAAAATACATGAAAAAGTGGCTTTTGCAATAATAGGTGACCTTTAAGTATTGTTTTACTTGTTATAGTTAACAATCTGAATGCTCTTCTCCAGAGCGCCCCCTGCAGGAGCCCATCACCTGGCGCCAGACTTCAGCTCAGCTCTCCGGCTGTGGAAACAGAGCTGGCAGAACGCACTGACCAGGTCTGGGTTATAGGGGGGCAGCTCTCTCTACAGGTAACACACTGAAGTCTGGCAGTGGCTCAGTCAGTAGGGGCTTGGACTGTGAGCCGTAGGGTTGCTGGTTCAAGTCCCCGACCAGACCTAAAATATGGAGTGTGGACTGCTACTTGGAGAGGTCCCAGTTCACCTCCTGCCCTGCTGTGGTGCCCTTGAGCAGGCATCGGACTACCCACCCACTCCCATTGCTCTCCCGGGCGCTGTACAATAGCTGCCTGGAACTAGGATCCTGCCTGGATCCTAGTACTAGGAGCAGTGGCTCCTGGTACTAGGATGGGTTAAAAGCAGAGAACAAATGTCACTGTGTGCTGTGTGCTCTGCATGTGTGACCATTAAAGAGGGTTTCATCCCTCCCATTCTATCTATCTATAAACGTTTTGGCATGTTTTAAAAAAAATCTGTAAAAAAAAAAAGAAAGTCTCAGTATTCCCATACAAGCTTTAATTGTTTTTGTCATTTTTTTTGGTTGAACATTTGGTGGGAAACTGCTACAGATATTGACCTTTTTCAAAAGCATTTCGTAGGGTTGAGCTCAATAATGATCCAGTTTATAATTGTACAGTTATACTATATATATATCACTTATTCACTCTAGCTTCAAACTCTGATCAACAACCCCCCACCCCCCGTTTACCTCCGTACTCGGATAAGGACTTCTGTTTATGTTTTTTTTTGTTTTCTTCTTTGTTTTGTTTCTGTTCTGATTTATGTATTGCGTCTTTGAGCATAAGGGAAAAGCGCTATAAAAAATCCCATGTAGTGTTGTTATTATTATTATATTATTATTATTATTATTATTATTATGAAGATTATTATACTGGTTACAGCTATGATGGTCATGGTTAACATCTTTAGGATGAGCCTAACTTTCAAACACTTGTGTACACACAGTCTTCGTCCTTCTGTAATGATATGTTGGTTGCTTTGGGCTACCCAGGAGCTGATGCAGACCCCAGGGACCAGGAGACTGTTCATCACGCGGATCATGAAGCAGTTTGAGTGTGACAACCTTCCTCCCTGAAATCAGTCTGGACAAATATCGTCTACTGGCCACAGTAAGATTCAGGTTTATTACAATTTAAGATATATTTAGATTTTTTTTGTTTGTAATGTTGAACAAACTAGTTCACAATGTACAACGTCATTTGCCCAGCAGCTTTTCAAAAGCATATTCAAACACATGTAAAAAATCATGGTACCAAGCCCAAATGTATCTTTTTCCAGTAACATCCCTTGAGATGGGTCTTATTTAATTTCACCTTGCTTTACAATATTTAATTTTACATTCTGTTATTGTATATATCATATTCTATTTACGTGTATATAGACTTCTTGCACTATTTTTTATTTGTATTTTTGTATTTTATTTTGCATCGTTTGAGGAGCTCGGGTCATAAGATTTTCATTGCCATTTCTACACTGTGGCGTATGTGGCATATGACAATAAAACCTTGTCACTGACAGCCAGAGGTGGAGGTATGAGGCCAGATGTTATACTTGAGTAAAAGTAGAAGTACTCGGATGTTGTACTTGAGTTAAAGTAGAAGTACTCAGATGTTGTACTTCAGTAAAAGTAGAAGTACCAGAGTGTAGGAATACTCTATTACAGTAAAAGTCCTGCATTCAAAATGTTACTCAATTAAAGTAGAAAAGTATGAGCATCTAATATACCCGAAAGTAAAGTAGTCATTGTGCAGATTGGTCCATTTCAGAATAATATATATGATATGTTTTATAATGATTGATCATAGAAGTGTTCTCAAAGCTGGTAAAGGTGCAGCTAGTTTGAATGGACTTTGGTATACTGGCAGGGTAGCTTGTGAATTTACTCTCCAGGTGGAACTAAAGGCCTGATTTAACACTTGATTATATTTACTCAAGTAAAGTACAAGTGCCTCAGAATTGTACAATACAGTACTTGAGTAAATGTACTTAGTTACTTTACATCTGACAGTGTGACTGCTGAAATACCTATATATCGATTGAATACACTCTAAGACCAGGGGCCTCATTTATAAACGTGGCGTACGCTCAAAAGACGACGTACGCCAATTCTAAGCAATCTTTGCGATTTATAAAAAAGCAAACTTGACGGGAGGATGCGCGGGTCCTCCACGGACACTCTGACCCATGCGTACGCACAAAAACGGGAGAGATGAGAAACTGCGACACCATTAGCAGAAAGAAGAATGGAGAGAAATATGTGAACACATACCATAAATGAAGAGTTCATTTACAAACATTGATTAAAACCGATCTTAAAATGATTAAACAAAACGCCTGTTTGAGTGCACAACAAAAACATAACTTGGAGAAATAAATAACTAACGGATATGTTATTGATCACCCCCTCGAATATGTTCTCTTACATGTTATGAAATGTATTCTCTTAAATGATGTGGTAAACGGAAGAATTACGTCTAAACTGACACGGTTTTGCATTTCTATAGGTTTATAGATACGAGCATGGTTTTATATACTATCATGTTTAATCATGTTTTTTTGCCTGCAACACGTTCCAAAAAAGCTGGGACAGGGGCATGTTTACCACCGGGTTACATCATCTTCCTTCTAACAACACTCCTACGTGTTTGGAACTCTGGACACTAATTGTTGGAGATTTGTTGGTGGAATTCTTTCCCATTCTTGCTTGATGTATGACTTCAGTAGCTCAGCAGTCCAGGGTCTCCGTTGTTGTATTTTGTGCTTCATAATGCGCCCCACACTTTCAATGGAGACAGGTCGGAGGCGTGTGGCGCAGTGGATAGAGCGTTGGTGTTGGGACCAAACAGTGTTGCAGGTTCAAACCCCACTGCAGTCAGCATGTCGTTGTGTCACTTCACCCCAAATTGCTCCTGTGGGGATTGTCCACAGTGTTGAGTATGTAAGTCGCTTTGGATATGTAAGTCGCTTTGGATAAAAGCGTCTAACAAGTAACATGTAATGTCTGGACTGCAGGCAGGCCAGTCTGGTACCCCAGACATGGCATTGTCTTGCTGAAATAAGCAGGGACGTCCCTGAAAACGTTTATGTACCTTCACAGATGTACAAGTTGCCATGGGCACTAACACCCCCCCATACCATCACAGATGCTGGCTTCTGAACTTTGCGCTGATAACAATCTGGATGGTCCTTTTCCTCTTTAGACCGGAGGACACGACGTCCAGGATTTCCAAAAACAATTAGGAATGTGGACTCATCAGACCACAGCACACTTCTCCACTCTGTGTCAGTCCATCTCCGACGAGCTCAGCCCAGAGGAGCCGGTGGAGTTTCTGGGTGTTGTTGATATATGGCTTTGGCTTAGAGTTTTAACTTGCACTCTCACAAACTCATCTCTTAAGCTGCCTTTACATGATCAGCAGTTAAACTGCTCTGCGCTGGCAGTTCCGTTTTGGTTTTATGGAGAGCGTGGTGCTGCCCTACTAGGCGAAGGCGCTACCCTTGGCGTCACACACGCTCCAAATTGTCGGCGAGCGCTGGGCTCAGATCAAATTATTTAAACTTTGAACCATTTCTGTCAACAACTGTATAAAGCAGCAGGTGAGGTAACCATAGAAACAAGACTTGCCTTGAAGTGTTTTACTGCCTGGCGCCCTGCCTTGTGGTGAGTAAGGCAGCTTTACACATGTATGTACCAGATGAAACATAAAGTAAGGTTTGCCTCTCCTTCAGGTTTCCAGGAGTGCCACACGAGCTACAGGAGGAGAATGGTATCCAGTACAGATTTGAAGTCTATGAGAGCATTGATGAACTATGTCAATTTGAAAAAATAAAACCAAACAATGTTAATCCTAGACTTTGAGTTATTTTATTTGTAGTTCTTTACAGTTGGGGGAATCTAAAAAAACACCTGTACGTTTGGGGTTATCCTTATGATGATCATAATTGTGTAAATATGCAAGACCATCTGAATCTTCAACAAATCATAAAATCAAAACTAATCTTGAAAAATATATTCAATAAACAGTGACACCTTTTTTTTTATACCAAGAAGTGCTTTGCTCCTCTTGGGATTCAAAGAGAGTCTTTGCATGCATTTTCAATAAAAACACTACAGTCCACGTGTCATGTGTGCAAAAGCTGCTACAAGAAATGTAAGAAAACATCTAAACAATCTTTCGTTAAAGTTAATTTTGAGGGAAAAAATCGTTTGAACTCAGAGGCCACGTCGGGACCACTCTGGAGGACGGGCTGGAGGGAGGCCACGTCGGGACCCACTCTGGAGGACGGGCTGGAGGGAGGCTACGGCGGGACCCCTTTACATGCCGGGCTGCAGGACGGCGAGGCGGCTCTGGAGGACGGGCTGGAGTTGAACTTGGTTAGTTAATTTAGTCCTAAATTCAGCAACTAAAAGAGACACAGAATCTTAGTCCAACTTTAATTGTGTTTTTAATGAAAAGTGGAAAATGTTAAAATGGTTTAACTGATTTAGTTCAGATTATACAATTTCAAGCATTTGTTTTGAAAGACTGTTCCGTTTTAAATTGGTAATAAAGTTAAATAATCTAAAACAAGCTTCAATTCAACAATTAATTAATTAATTTGTACTTGGAGGTAAGTTCATTATTACTATTACAAAGTTTTAAAATTTAAAAGGTCAGCATTTAATCAATGGGCCCTTGGTGGATTTAATTTCGACTCGCAGGATAATTTGAATTACTATTAGATCTGGCCCGCCGGTATATTGCACGCACACCTTCACTCCATCCTGAGGGTTTCCTCAGCTCAGAGCCTGAGCCCAAACATTGATGACCTTGCACCCAAGATGAGATGCCAAGTATCTGAACTAGTATCACAGATTTTTTTTCTTTGAGGGAAATCGTTTTGTTGGAGCTGTTGTTGGCCTGTGGGAAAATGTCATCATAAGAAATGACTCCGGAAAAGCTGCAGATAGAGCCATAAGAAATGAATGCAACTGATTATTTAATGTTTAATGTTGTTTTATAGGCAATAATTTAAGCTTAGTTAGTTCCAGGTTTAATATGTGCAATAAGTTCATTTCAATACGTTTTGCAATAAACATTGAACCAGTCCGGCCCTCGACTAGTACCCATTTTTTTATTTTGGCCCACTGTGTATTTGAGTTTGACACCCCTGCTCTAGAGGGATCATTTTGTGATCATGGGGCATCACCCTTGTATACAGCATCAGGACAATATCATATGGAGTCAGACACTGGAAGTGTGCTGGAGGCGTTAACTGGGACTGATGGAAGGATGAGGCTGATGAGACTGATGAGACTGAAGAATCTGCGAGGAACTAATTAGCGGCAGAGGAATAATTATATATTAAAAGACAGCAGCATCATAAGAGGCCAACAAGAGTGACAGAGTGTGTCACTTTGCTGAAGGATATTTGTGACCAGCTATCCAGGCCAGACTCTAAAGACTTTCCAAGGGGTAAAAACGCTGCTGCCAGAGTACTGGAAGTATTGCTGATATCATGTCTACCATATCCTCTTAAAATACTCTGTCCAACAATATCAGTCTCAGGAAGAAAGGTTTTTTAACGCTGATTCAAAATAGCAGAGAAACATGCATTCTTGTTCTCAGGAGGGGACATTGACAGAGGATTACTGGAAAAGTACACAGTAAATACTTCATATACTTGTGGGGGTAGTTTCACTAGTACTGAGTCCAACAGGATCAATCTCACGAATAACTAATGGCAACAAAAATTAATTCCCTCATCAAACTTAGCAGAAGTGGCTTGATGTTGTTCTCAGTAGGGGACTTTGACAGAGTATTTCTCAAAACATACACAGTAAAAGTACTTCAATGTATTGTAAATATTAGGCTAACTAATACAAAGTCAAACAGTATCGATTTCATTAAGAACTAATGGTAAAATTGTCTTTGTATCATTCATCAAAGATAGCAGAAAAACATGCATTATGGAGCCTACTATGGAGGGGACTTTGACAGAGGATTACTCACAAAGTACACAGTAAAAGTACTTCATTTCATTTCTGGTAGCAGTTAAACTAATACCGAGTCCAACAGTGTCAGTTTTGTAGAACTTGTAGTAAAAAATATTTGTATCAGGGCCGCCCCTCCCTACAGGCCGATAACGCAGACTGCGTGGGGCCTCACCTCGCGGAGGGGGCCTCATTTTGCGGAGGGGGCCTCATTTTGCGGAGGGGGCCTCATTTTGCGGAGGGTGCCTCATTTTGCGGAGGGAGCATCTGAAGCGCAAATGCGGCGCACCTACAGTGCAAGCGCACCACAGTACACGGATTGACCGTCCTCATCTACGCTCTTATTTTGAAAGGTAACTTCCGGTAGCAGAATATGAAAAACCGGTAGTATTTTTGTTTCTGTTTTCTAGTGATTTTATTTTTTGTTTTGAGAAGTAGAAAATCATCCCATTTTTTAAGTTTAGTAAATCCCTTTTTGACCATGATAAAGAAAAACGCCTTTTATTTCAATTTAGTTTTTTCAATTTTAAAACGAAAATTAAATATCCAGTCGTTTTTTGTTTTTGAATTTCCATTTGTGAAAAGAAAATCCAATGACCAAAACATACACTGACCCGGCTACCTAGACAGTTGACAGATTGGGTAAACAGGAATGAAGGTTTGATCTACATACAAAATGCACTGACTCTTTTTGTTCGCGTTATACAGCGCAAGACAAGCGTTTAACATTCAGTTATTTTGTATTATTCTGAGAATATTTCACATAGCAATGTTTAAATGTTCTGTCTCATTTGCTTTAATAAATGCAAGGGGTCTCAAAGATTTGGTCAAAAGCAAAGCAATATTTCTTTTTTGCAAAGGGCACAAATCACAGTGTCTTCTACTTCAAGAAACTCTTCTGTTGTGGATGTGCACTTCTAGACTAACCAGATCAAATGTTATTTAGGCACCAACAGATCTGCAATTGTGTTGCAATCTGTTTCAACAGGTTTCCTGGTGATATTGTTAATCATGGTCACATACTCTCATATGTATGTGACCATACACATACATATGTGTATGTATGTGACTATGTGTATGGTCATACAGTTTGAACCACTGTTCAAACTACTGATATTTGAAGCACTCCTGCTAAATGTGTTGGCTTATTTTGGTCATTAAAAACTGGCATCAAATTAACATTTATTTTGTATTACAGCTGATTTTTATTCCACATTAATTATATACTTTTAAAAAGAATAGTTGATATTGTGTTGTTAACACATGTATAATCAATTAAACATGGACTGTACTGTCAATAACAGTAATGTAACGTAAACACAAGCAGTAATGAGCTGGTTAACCCGAGATTAGATAGATAACGACAGAAAGTGTGCCTTAAAGGAGAGGTGTCATGCTTCTCCGGTTATTACCCGTCCCCTTGTGTGTTATGAAGGTTTTTATGCATGTAAACGGTCTGCAGAGTCAAAACCCTCAAAGTACACCCTGTAGCGAGTAAAACTCTAACACAGAAAATACCTCCCCAAAACGCCTCGTTGGAGATACGTCATTGTCCATTTGATTCTTCCGGGTACGGCATGATGTCAAGCCGTACCGGAACGAAATGGACCAATCCGTGGAGCCGTTACGTTACGTCTGCGGAGCCGTTACGTTAAGCCCCCGCTGATTGGTCCAAATTGACCAATCCACGGACTTCCTCACACACACATCTGTGTGCAGGGAGCAGGCAGCTCAGCTGATTTCTCCTCCCTGGCTGCAGGCTGATAACAGACAGTTGGGATCGCGGCGAAATTCTCTCTGCAGACCCATTCTCACAGCGTTTATCAACCTTTTTCTTACTCAATATCAAGCCACACTTATTGTTTTTACTTCGGCTGTGACTTTGTGTGTGCTCAGGATGAGTTTGGCTGTGTTTCGCTATGTATCCTAAACAAGGAAACAACACCTCATGGAGCTCAGCGCGATTCACAACGTCCCGACCAATCAGAGCACACTGTGCTCACAGGGAGGGTGGGGGCTGGAGCTGTTGGAGCTACAACGAGCCGTTAAAGGCAGAGAGTGAAATTCAGTGAATACACGTAGTTTACAGAGATGCTGTATGAGAAACCAATGTGAGTTTGGAAAAATGCACAGTATAAATCTATTCTAGTATACCTCAACAATGGAATTATGATCAGTGGAAATGGCCATGACACCTCTCCTTTAAACTGTAGTGGGTAACGTTATAGCATATAAAACTATAGTTTAATGGAGGTTTCATTGAGCTATGCTAACCTTTAACTAGCGCCAACGGTAACGGGACACGATGCCTACTGTCACTTTTAACAGTAAGGTCATGATATACTGTGTATACACAAGATAACACGGATAATGACAGAAAGTGTCCCTTAAACTGTAGTGGGTAACGTTATAGCATATCAAACTATAGTTTGATAGATATTTCACTGAAAGACGCTGTCCCCTAACTAGCGGCCGTCAGCAGTAACATGGCCGTGGCCCGTCGGGTCATTGCAGTAATGAATAACACAAGATAACAGAAATGTTGCCGAAGTATGTGGCGTGTAAAGTATACTTTAAAGAAGTTTTCAAACAGAAAAAAACGTACCTGTCAACCCAAGTCTTCGCTAGCGATACACCAGCAAACGAGCGATGAAGTGGTGGGGTAAAAACTCAGTTGAAAGCGAAAAACACACGAAATGAATACTGTCAGGTAGTAATAAAGACACATTGCACACAAATTCTCTAAGAAAAATGGCTTATTATGTCTTGTTAAGACTGTACAGTGACAGTCTCGGGAGAGCCGCTGTTTCTCTACGTTCGGACAGCCCGCCCACTCCAAACACTCCATTGAACAGTACGACTGTAGACTTCCAATCACATGCGAATACAGTGACTGTAGACGGTTAAGCCTTCTGATTTGCCAAATGTCTACAGTCGGAGTCCCGCCTCCAAACTCCATTGGACAGTACGACTGTAGACTTCCAATCGGATGGAAATGACTGTCGAATTAGAAGGCTTAACTGTCTACAGTAACTGTTGTTGGTTGCAAGGGGATCAAATACTTATTTCCCACAATTAAATGCAAATCAATTCATGTCTCTTCCATGATGTACATTTCTGGATATTCTTTTTGATATTCTGTCCCTCATTATTAAAATAAACCTACCATTAAAATGATAGACTGTTCATTTCTTTGTAAGTGGGTAAACTTACAAAATCGGCAAGGGACAAATAATTATTTCCTCCACTGTATGCATGTGAGTGTGATCACATGTGAATAACTTTGGATTTCATAGGTGTGTGTGAGAGCATTTCATATGTGTATATGAGAGATTTTTACATATGTTTGTAAATGATTTTGGTTTTAGTTGTGTGTGTGAGTGTTTCACACATGTTTATGTGAACGGTATTTCTGAATAATGTCCCTCACGGCCCCTCAAATTTGGGGCCGTGAAATTTGACTAATGCTTTGTTCTTATAATTTTGACAACACACATGCAAACAGTTTGTTGTAGGCATGTAATAGGCGGATGACACCCTCCCAGTTTGTTTTGTTTTATCCTCCTAATGACTACTGCTCCAACCCTGCACCGGTTGCACTTGAACTATGTTTTATACTGACTTTAACGCTACAAGCCTATGGACCTTTCCTTATGTTACTGATGGAAGAAAAGCCCTTAGGGTTAACCGTAACCAAAGAAAAGTGGAAAAAGGACAGGTCCGACCTGTTATCAAAGTGAAAAATAGACAGTCAAAAAAAGAAAAGAAAAGAGAGTGGTAAAACAAGTCAGGTCCGGAACTGTCGAAAAAAGTCACAAGGCAGAGCACATCACAGTAATGCTGAGTCATGACAGAGGTGAAAAAACCTTGACACTTTGCTGACTTTAATTTGACTTTAATTTAAGAAAGGGATCTGAAAACTATTCTGTTGCTTATATGAAATAATAATAATACATGGTATTTTAGCGCTTTTACAGGTGCTCAAATCCGTTCTCAATACTGTGGATAATACCCACAGGAGCAATTTGGGGTGAAATGTATGCCCAAGGAAACAGCGGCATGCTGACTGTGTGTGTCAAGGTGGGATTGAACCGGTACTCCCTGATCTGATCTGAAGATGAGTGCACTAAACCACTGAGCCAACTGCCGCCCCAAAATAGTTTAGACTTTTGAGGACTACTAACAAAATGCCATGCTAACTTCTACTTATTTAAATAGAATAACAAGACCTCAATAATGTATGCCAGTTTTCACCTATTTTCTGAATCCAGCTGTTACAGTTTACTTCAAACTTTTGTGGCTAGTTGACATTTTGTATCATTAGCTAGGCCTATTCCTTACCTCTTACAGGTTGCATACAAAGCCATTTCCCCCCCAAACAAACACACACTAACATCGGTCTTTTGTCAGCATTAGGTGGTGGGACAAATGACTTTTATAAAAATAAAAACAGGGATTTGGAAGTGTTGTAATTTATTAACATAAAAAACCTACACTTATGCTCTCTGCAACGCCACCAGACTTCATTTTCCATTTTCAGAATTTTTGTTCAAACTTTAGAGCCCAGAAGAAGTATATTGCTAGGCCTAAACTAAAATGCAAAAATCATAAATCATAAGAATAATTTCTGCAGATAAACCAACTGTTCTTTTCTTTCTCATTTATCTAGCTTTGGCCTGCTGCAGCGAGACAATTTCAAATATTTTGTCAGACTTTTAGTTTTTGTCTTGTAGTGTCATACTGAGCTCTGTCCTTTGGGAGTCTGGCAGGTCATAGTAGATCCTACTGATGTCAAATTCTTTTCTGTAGGGCAGTAAGTCCTGAAGTATTAACGTATCCTCCTGGCCCGTCCATACTGTTAGAGTGTACCTGTGTAGAACATGATAAAACATAAGCATTTATTAAATAGTAGGTTTGTGCAGTTGAAAAATAATAAACACAATGATTTCTTCTATCACATAAACTGATCACTTAGTTGAGCAACCACATAATTTCACTATATATTTTAGTTTTGTAATTCTCAATATTTGTGACAAATAGAACTCCTTGTGTATTTGAAAAATGGCGTGCACAAGAAATGTTAATATTAATAATAATAATAATAATAATAATAAAAAATTTAATAAACAAGATCACTGGTTTAGTGTCAAGATGTGCAATTTGGACATGTTAGTACACTTTTAATAGAAAATGTAAAAACTAACATTGCTCCTGCTCAGGCTCAGGTACTGCACAAAAAAACTAATGTAAACTAAAAATAATTCCTCCTGATTCTACTGACTCTAAAATTACCCAAAACATGCGGCAATGTTGCTTGGCCTTTTTGCATGAAGTAAATGTTATTTTCTTGTTAGAGAGTACCAGAATGCGTTGTTTACATGTTAAAACAAAAAAACATTTGAGTGTGCATGTGCGTCGCTGTGGAGAACAGGCGTTTTCAAGACTCTTAAAAAAAGACCCCCCCCCCACCCATCTATAATGGTTCCAACGAAAACATTCTGTAGCCTGACTCTGTAAATCCTGTCTATACATCCGGCCTTGCATAAGACTTCTCCAGCTCCATTCTTCTGTTTGCCTTGCACATATTCATTTGTTATTTCAATGAGTAGTATTTTATCTAATTTTACAGTATTTTATTTGACATTTTATTTTTAGCTCATCTTATTCTATTTTACGTGCATATATTTCCCTTCTCCTGCATTACTTGCAACATTATCTTGCACTATTTTATTTGTATTCTGTTTTTTCTTGCACTATTATTGTTTTTTTATTTGTTTTATTGTTTTATGTCTTATATATAATATGTTGCATTTTTGGAGGAGCTTGGGACGTTTCATTGCCATAACAAAATGTAGCTACTGTGTATATGACATAAAGCCTTTGAATCAGAATTTTGAATTTAATTTTAATATAGTGCCTTGCTCAAAAACACCATGATAGTTCCCAGGTGACATGGCATTTCTTAAGTAAGCAATTCAACCTCAGGTTCACACACAAGTTTCAGATAACACACAGGAGCTAGAAGACCCACCTGCTTCGTTAAATCAGCTGTGTGGGAACATTTCGTTTTCCCTGTGGACTACAGTAACGATGGAGTGCGAGTGGTGGATCGGGAGGACGGTGTGTCGGCGTTGGTCGACAGCGGTGCGGTATGCTAATGATAACACCTGGGTAACACACGCCAAACATGCTAAATCATATCAGAAGGCATCACCCAGATTTGCCAATCACCGGAGCCCGGCGAAAGACAACAGCAGTTCAACAGCTTCTCCCCGCTGTTTTTAAGAAGCCAATAGACATGCAAGCCGAGAGACCAAAATAAATAACGGAAGCTATTGGCATATATATTTCAACGGCTATGCGCCTTTGAAACACTTTCTTATTATTTATTGTGTAATATTTTCAAGACATTCTTTTTCGCTTTACAGCTTGATGAAACCTTCTTGTTTGAGATCAGCCATTATAGATACTATGGCCATCTGAGTGTGTGTGGTACTGTTTGTGGTTTGTTTTGAACTGTGTAATACAGTTAATTATTCAAAATGTTCCTTATTTTTATACTGAAACTTGCATCACTGTTCAAAAATAAATAACAACAAACCTGGAATTATGCATTTGGGACTTTTTTTTAGCTTTTCTTGTTGTACCGAACCCGTACCGAACTGTGACCCCCAAAACCGAGGTACATACCGAACCGTGAATTCTGTGAACCGTTACACCCCTACCTGTGTGACTGCTGCAGTAGCCATGTGAGCTGTGAGAGCGATTGGGCCAGCAAAGCTGCACGCACTGGGAAGGTTACTGGATGTTTAAGGTCTCTACAAATCTCCTCCATCACACGCACCATATTCCAGCTGTAACCTGAAAATATTAAAACAAAACAAATCAAAAGGCAATTTATTTGAGATGTAACTATGTTCTAGTATATTTTATTCATCTGTGCTTATAAAGATATAATTGTGAAAGCATATATAAAAAAACATGTGAGTTTGGGCCACGCGGTTGCAATACGTAACCCATAAACAGACAAACTGTAGTGCAGTAAAACTTAAGACATTACTTACTTAGGTACTTAACAGTATTTTAATAGCAAACTCATATGTTCAAACAGTATATTTCCAATGCCAAAAATAATGATCCATCAGGAGGTCTTTTAAAGAAAATAGAAAACTGAAAAAAGCTACTTGCACCAGTATTCACACACTATAATTTGGTAGAGCAACCTTAAGCTTCAACAAAAGCCTGAAGTATCTTTGGGTAAGTATCTACCAGGTCGTTCAACTGTTCTGAGGGATTTCTGACCATGACCTCTGCAGATCTGCTCCAGGTTGTTCAGGTTGGTTGAATGATGCTTGTGAACTGCAGCTTTCAAAAAGTGCCACAGATGTTGGGTGGGATAGAGATATGGATTTGACTTGGCACTTAGGACATTAAGCTTTCTGTTGTTTAACTCTCCTGTGTTGCTTTGGCTTTGTGCTAGGAATCATTGTCCTGCTGAAAGGTGAAGTTTGATTCAACTTTGACTTTGATTGCCTTCTGTTGGTTTTCAGGTTTCCTAAATTCTTCTATAATGAATAGAAACAAGACCTCCACATAAACACAGCCAGTGGCACGAAAGTGTCATCACCTGCATTATCTATCCCAGCAGTCCATCCTGTAGTCCAGCCGAGAGAGAGCACGGCGTGAGTGGGAAGAGTTCTCACAGCAGAAAGGAATGCCTGAGGTTCCAGAGGTGTGGCCTTTCCCCCAGGACCAGAGAGGATATCTGCATTGATCCACAGTGGGCAGCTTGGCTGAGCCAGCATCTCCTCCAGAAGAACGACAGACGGAAATACCGCCTCCATGCTGTTGGAGTACACCACAGTGCTTACATCACAGACAACCACATATTATAAAGAAGGGATATAAGTAACATCTTACCTCTTAAAGTCTAGTTTTATTCCCTTGTTATACTCCTTCACTTTTTCCAGCCACTCTTTCAGTGTGATGTCACTCTCTGTATCAGGTGGATGTGCCATGATGGGCTCTTTAGGATCCCGGCCTCTCATGACTATGTCAGCCTCAATCATATGTGTGGGACCTAGAATGGAAGTTGATGGTCAAAAAAGTTAGTGAAGAACTCTGTCAACACAAAGGTAAAATCTCTATATACTAAATAATAAATATAAAGTCTAAATTCTCCCTTCATGAAGGTTCTAACGTTTGTTTTTTCATACTTTAAGGAAGCATGAATGAAACCTTATGCCTATTTTGGAGGCTTTTGAATTGTATTTCAGTGCGATGAGATGTTTGTAATATTCTGTCTACCATATTGCAATCAATGTTTGCTTTGGATAGTGTTTCTAGCAAACTGGAAAACGGAGTGTTTATGTGACCAATCAAACATGATAATAGCTTATTAGAATGCAATAAAATTCGGTCTGACAAATGACCACGGAATAAGATCTATGTATCTCTAGGAACGCCTCAACAACAAATGGACATTACAAATTACTAGCACTTATTGGAGGACAATGGTACTGAAGTGTTATTATGTAGTCCAGTAAACTTGATTAATCAGCTTTGTTGAATGTTTTCTTAATTAATATGTATACATTATGGGTGGAGAAACTTCATTATGTAAAAATCAAGAAAAACTGACAAAGCATCTGAGCATGAATGAGCCATATATTTGTATTTGTGAGTGACAGGATTACCTTATTAATCAATAAGTCCCAGTGAGCTTTGATAAACCTTCACACTCGGGTTAACTACTGATTCATCTGCAGATCTCCTTCTTGATTCATAAATTAGATATTTGGTATTCTTTGAAAGAGCCCAAGGTGATGTCTTAACTCTTTTTAGTCTGAAAAGTCAAGACAGTTGAAGACGCTAAGATTTTAGATTTGCAATGGTATTAAACACAAATAACATTAAGTCACAGAAATTATTCTCAAACTTCAAATAATCGATTAATTAACTAAGTTTCACTCACAAAATGTAGTGACGAAAACAACTAAGTCAGCACTACTTGGTGGCACAGCTTCATCAAAAACCGATCATGCAGAGTTTACTTTAATGTAAAAAAACGAAAATCCACAGAGTGCATTTTCATCTTTAGACTATACAGATATAGAATGTAAAGACATCTACACACTGTGTATAGAGACCCACAAGCTGTTTATACATCTATAGACTATTTCAAGATATAAGCCCTTTCTCAATTGTCAAGTTTTCGCCTCCTCGGTCCTCCGGTAGTGACCCGGAAATTCGTGTTGAAGGACATCTAATTTCTCTAAATGCCCATCGAGGATCTAGGATGGAGCATGGAGGAGGCTCTCTGGAGGAGCTATAACCAAGGGTACACTGATGTAGAGGAGAGAGGAGAGAGGAGGCTCTCTGGAGGAGCTATAGCCGAGGGTACACTGATGTAGAGGGTAGAGGAGAGAGGAGAGAGGAGGCTCTCTGGAGGAGCTATAATCCAGGGTACACTGATGTAGAGGAGAGAGGAGAGAGGAGAGAGGAGGCTCTCTGGAGGAGCTATAACCAAGGGTACACTGATGTAGAGGAGAGATGAGGCTCTCTGGAGGAGCTATAACCATCACTGATGTAGAGGAGAGAGGAGAGAGAAGAGAGGAGAGCGGAAAGAGGAGAGAGGAGGCTCTCTGGAGGAGCTATAACCATCACTGATGTAGAGGAGAGAGGAGAGAGGAGGCTCTCTGGAGGAGCTATAGCCGAGGATACTGATGTAGAGGAGAGAGGAGAGAGGAGGCTCTCTGGAGGAGCTATAGCCGAGGATACACTACACTACACTGATGTAGAGGAGAGAGGAAAGAGGAGAGAGGAGGCTCTCTGGAGGAGCTATAACCCAGGGTACACTGATGTAGAGGAGAGAGGAAAGAGGAGAGAGGAGGCTCTCTGGAGGAGCTATAACCCAGGGTACACTGATGTACCCTCCGGAG